AAGGTGGCATAGTGCCTAAGGCACTTGACTGCTAACCAGAAGGCTGGTGGTTCAAACCCGCCAGAAGATTGGGCAATCTACTTCTGTAGAGATACCACCTCAGAAACCCAAGGAGGGGTCGCTATGAGTCGGGATCAACTCAACAGCAGGGAATTTGGTTTGGGTTTTTGGTATAATTGAATTTTAAATTTAAAAGCAGAGACTTCATACGTTTATTGGAAAACATTTACGTGTATGTGGAACAACTTGAGAACATAAATGTACTTTTCTCAATGCACCTTTTATGAAATCTAAATATACATCAAGGATTAGAATGGAAATACAGCACCTGAACAGAGAAGTGCTGTAAGTACAAGCTAAACACTGGATTTCAAAGATTTGGTATGAACAAATGAATTTTATGTTGATTGCATGTTGGAAATACTTTGGATAAATTGCGTTAAATAAAATACAATATTAAATACAAGTTCACTTGTTTCTTTTTTAAAGCACCTGGTAATACAACGGCTGGCCAAGGCATTTGGCTGCTAACCAAAAAGTCAGTGGTTTGAACCCACCAGCCGTTCTACAGAAGAGAGATGAGGCAGTCTGCTTCCATGAAGATTTACAGCCTTGGAAACCCTACTAGACAGTTCTACTCTGTCCCACGGGGTCACTAGGAGATGGAATCGACTTGATAGCAGTGGGTTTGGTTTTTGGTTTGTTTCTTTTTTTACTTTTTACACGGCCACTAGGGAGCACTGGCGGCATGGTGGTTAAAGCACTCAACTGTTAACCAGAAGGTCAGCAGTTCAAACCCACCAGCCATTCTGCAGGAGAAAGACATAGCAGTCTTCTTCCATAAAGATTACAGCCTTGCTAACCCTATGGGGCAGTTCTACTCTGTCCAAGTAGGGTCATTACAGGTTGGAACTGACTCAACAGCAAAGGATTTAGTTTTCTGGTTTTTGTGGCCACTAGGAAAATTAAAATTCCGTATGTGGCTCTTGATGTTTTGATTGGCCAGCCCTGCACTAGAGCCTGGGAAGGGAGAGAGGGAGACTGACTAGTGCACTCACTCGGCCACCCGCCTCTCAACGAGCCTCATCAGACCCCTGCTCCCCACAGACCACTCCGCATTCACACGTCTGTGCCACAACAATAGTCACAGCACAAAGAAACACAAACTACCTAGATTCTCCTACAAATTACAACACATTATGGAATCACGCAGAACCCCTCGAAATCACATGACAGGAAGATACCGACACACAAAATGGCATTATGGGAAAAAAGAGATACAAAATTACACACCACAAAGAAATACACTAAAGGCTAACGGTGGTCAGATCAGGGTGGACTAAGGGCAACTTTTACTTTTCTATATATAACCCACTGCCGTTGAGTTGATTCTGACTCATAGCAACCCCACAGGACAAAGTCGAACTGCCCTATAGGGATTCCAGGGCCGTCAATCTTTACAGAAGCAGGCTGCCACACCTCTCTCCTGCAGAGTGGCTGGTGGGTTCAGACTGCCACCTTTCAGTTAGCAGCTGAGTGCTTTAACAGTGTGCCACCAGGGCTCTGTTTTTATACGTTTTCTCTAATTTCTAATTTCTCCAGATTTTCTTCAATGATTATATATTATTTCTACATTCATAAAAACAGCAATGAAGGTTCTTTTAAAAAAATGTATCCAGGTCTGAAATTCACTTTCCTCTCTTGCCTTTGTACTCATGCGAATCCGCTTGTCCCTCAGGCAGGCAGAAGGCCACCTCTGCCAGGGAGGCATCCTCCGGGGCCCTGGGGAGTAAATGGCACCACACAGAGCTGGACTCATGGGAGCTTGAGGGTCTTCCTTTACTGAGCCCCGAGGGCCAGGCCCAGGCTGAGGCACTGTACTGCCAGTGGCTGGACTACTCTGGCCCAAGGACCCTCCGAGTGGTCCCTGAGACCCAGTACCCCCATATCTCTGTGGGCTCAGGCACTGCGCCCTGTGATTCACTAGCCTAGAAAGTCACTCTTAATAACCTCCTAGTACATTCGAGAAAACCATGAAGCAGAAAGGGGAAGAGCATGCCCAGGGCCACACGGCTGGTCAGTGGTGGAGTAGAGACTTGAACCCAAGCCTAGCATTAACTCCAACATCACTCATTCTCAGCCACCCTGCAGGATGCCATTAGAACCTGCCGATTTCCACTGAAAGGTCAGTAGCACTCCCAGTCCCTGCCACCAAGTACATCAAGGCCAAACACCTCTCTCGCAAGGTGACTCTCCATCACCCTTTCAGCTCAGCTACAGCCCAAACCCTTCCTTAATGTCACACCCTCAAACCAAGCAAGTACTGGTTTCATGCCTTTCCTGCCTAGGACACTTTCATGCCTAGGACACCTCTTTTCCCAACAGGATGAGGATGAGAGGAGGCAGAAGCTTGTGGGGACAATCTTTCCTTGACTACCTCCTTTCCTCTGCAGTTAGTCACGCAGTCATTCAACAAACATTTGCTGAGTATCTACCAGATGCTAGCTAAGTTCTGTGTGAGTGGTGGTATAAAGAGGAATAAGGAAGACAAAGATCCTGCCCTCAAGAAGCATATAGCCAGTAAGCCTGACAAGCTCTATACAAACACTGCAGTGCAAGAAAGACTGACATGATACAGGTAGTGCCTGACTTAGGACATATTCAAGTTATAATGAACCACAACTTAGGCTTAGGACCATCTTTTTTTTTTTTTTTTTTTGGTACATCTTACCATTAGTAATATGTACTACAAAGAATATTGCAGTGTGTAATTTGCTGATAGCATCATATCTGTAAGTTTATATGTAATGTTTCTAACACCTAAAGACAAATAAAGATCAGATTTATAAAGATACTGATAATCAGAAAGCAATAATGAAAATGTTTTTTTAAATGAAGTATTCAACTTACATCAGAATGAACTTACAATGGAGCTGTCAAAATGGAACCCTGTCATTAAGTTGGGAACTAACATGCTAGTGGGGGGATGTATCCTTTCACCATACTTAATTCACTCTGCATACTGAGCAAATAATCTGAGAAGCTGGATTATATGAAGAAGAATGTGGCATCAGGACTGGAGGAAGAGTCATTAACAACCTGTGATATGCAGATGCTACAACCTTGCTTGCTAGAAGTGAAGAGGACTTAAAGCACTCACTGATGAAGATCAAAATCAAGGATTTCATTTTCCTGGGATCTACAATCAACACCCATGGCAGCCAAAAAAAAAACAAAACAAAACAAAACTCACTGCCATCGAATCAGATCCAACTCATAGCAACCTCTCCTTGGGTTTCTGAGGCAGTGTCTGTATAGAAGTAGATTGCCCAATCTGCCTTCTGAGGAGCAGCTGGTGGGTTGAATTGCCAGCCTTCTGGTTAACAGTCAAATGCCTTAGGCACTATGCCACCAGAGCTTCCATGGAAGCAGCAGTCAAGAATCAAATGATGAATTGCACTGGGCAAATCTGCTGCAAAAGATCTCTTTAAAATGTTAAAGAGCAAAGATGTCACTCTGAAGACTAAGGTGCACCAGACCCAAGTCGTGGTATCTTCAATCACCTCATATGCACGTGAAAGCTGGCCAAGGAATAAGGAAGACCACAGAAGAACTGATGCCTTTAAAATGTGATGCTGGTGAAGAATATTCCATATACCATGGCCTGCCACAACAACGTACAAACCTGTCTTGAAAGAAGTACAGCCACAGTGCTCCTTAGAAGCGAGAATGGCTAGACTTCCTCTCTAGTACTTTGGTCACATTGTCAAAAGGGACCATTCCTGAGGAAAAGATATCATGCTTGGTAAACAGAGGGTCAGAAGAAAGGAGAGGACCCTCAATGAGATGGACCGACACAGTGACTGTGACAATGGGCTCAGATATAGCAACAGCTGTGAAGACAGCACAGGGTGTTCTGTTGTACAGTATGAGCTGGAACTGACTCGATGGCACTTAACAACGTGGGGGGGGGGTTGACCAAAGGGGAAGATGCTACTTGTATGAGGAGGGAAACAGGACTGGCTCGTAAGATGGCATACATGTTGGACGTTATGGATGGCAAAGGCTTCAGTAGATGGAGAGAAGGAGGCAAAGGCCCCAATACAGGAAATGCTAGCTAGGTTTATAGTGGAGGAAGAGGTCGGGCTGGCGCTTCTTCCTGTCCTTACCTTGAGGAAGAGGGCAGGTCTGTGTGTTACAGGGTTCCATCTCCACTGGCTTCAACAACTGCAGGCTCTCACAGTGGCTGGGCAGCCCAATGGCACAGAGGACCTGCCGCTTCCGAATGCCTGAGCTGCAACTTTTAGAGCACTGAGGCCCATGGGGTGGGGAGGAGAGAACACATGCTTAGAAAGGGAGAGACCAGGAGGCTAGAGGTGGGATACTCACCAGGAAGGCAAAATGGGGGAAGGTGCCCAGCCCCACACGTTAGACCCCTGAACGCACATAGGAAGCCCCCATCAGAGACCCAAGGAACCAGGTTGGACATCAGTTATGTGAGGTAGCAGGGGGCATCCCAAGCACTCACCGGACCCCAGGGGCCAACGTGCCAAGCCTGGTCTTTGAGGAAGGGACAGTCATCACGCACACAGGGCTCCGTGAGGGGCGGCCGGTCCTTTGAGGCACACGCCATGGCCTGGAGCACAGACCCCTCATTGCTCTGGCAAGTGACAGTCCGCCTCCGGACCCCGGAGCCACAGGTGACCGAGCACTGCAAGGACCCAGCTGTCAGCAGGAGCTCATCCCCCATCCAGGGGAGGCATGCCAGGTCGGACAGGCTGGGCACGGAGAGCGGACAGCATGCTACAACCCATGTCCAGCTCCGAGGCCCACAGAGGCTGAGTGAGTCCTCTGAGGTCACACAGCATGAGCTGTGACTGCTGACACCAGCATGAATGCATCTCTACATCCCCTCATTTGCACCTTGAACGTACACGGGTGCTGGAAGCAATGCCGAGCAGACCCCGACACTGCCAGCCCCTCACCCTGCCACCCCAAGCAAGGCCCTCAGCTTCTCCTTCATGCCAAGGCACAGCTTTTCCCACCCTGCCCCCAGCTTCCGCGACAGCTTCACCCCAGGACCTCAGTTTCCACATTGGAGGACAAGCCTCCCAGCCATTCTCCTAGTCAGACAGCTCCTGATTCTGCCCCAACCCCACTCTAGCCTAGGCACAACCAGGGGCCTCACCTCTCCCCAAGGCCCTGAACTCCAGGCTGCACAGCGATGGAGGTTGCAAGCCTGTGTGGTAGGGGGCTTTGCGGGCAGGCCTGCACACTCAGCCTCATCAACAGCCTCCTGGACGCCAGTCCCTCTGGCTGAGACGCAGTAGACAGAGCGGGACTGGGATCCCCCTCCACAGGAGGCCGAGCAGGGTCCCCAATGCCCCGTCTTCCAGCTGGTGGGGAACAGAAATCCAGTGAGGCTGGCTCAGGAGCAGGGGCCAAATCCCAACCCAAGGTGGGGGAGACCAGCTCTCACACGCAGGAGTGGACGGAGCCACTCCCCCAAGCCCATCTTTGGAACACCCAGGTCTGTGCGGATGGGTGGCGAAGAGCCCTGGGTGAGGCCAAGCCCAGGACCTGCTCTGCACTATGGTAAGTGGCTCCTGGATCCCTCCTCTGCCAATCCTTACCACACCTCCCCTCTCCCTCTCACCAGGTCCCCTGTCTCTCCCAGCCAGACTCCACGCCTCTGGGTCTGACCTTTGATGTGGGCACCCTCTGAGGGGCTGTGCTCACCGTATGTGGAGGGGCCCAGCCTGGAGCTGAGGCCCGAGGACTAGAGAAAAGGGCATCATGCAAAGCCAAACCCGCCACCATGCCATGAGGCCAGCTGCCACCAAGGCTCATGCATGGAAGTGCCCCAGGCCTGTGGGGCCTGTGGCCCACAGATTACCTGTTCCCACACACATGGTGGGCCCCAGCGAGGGGCCACGCTCCCGGCTGGTGCAGGTAAGAGGTCCTTTGTGAGCAAATGAAGGCATCGCAGATGCCGATGGGCCCCCTTTGGCCAGATCCCTGGCCCACTCCTCAGCCTCTGCTGAGACAACTCCTTGCCAGCTCACAGACAGGGGCCTCCACCACCTTCCCAACCCTCCTGGCACCAGCCCAGGCACTCAGTACTCACACCCCTCCCGGAGAAAACAGCCCTGAGCCTCCAGCTAGGCCCCCACACTTCCCTCACTGTGACTGTGCCTCCTCCCCACTACAGATGTGGGGAGCCCTGGGCCACCCAACCTCATAGCTCCACACCTAAAGCAGCTTAAGGACCCCAACCTCTTCCCTCCCAAGTCTGTGGGCCCCACCAGGGGAGCAGAAGGCTGGCAAGGGCCTCACCGCTTGGTCTGTGGGCAGGGGTGAGGGTTGCAAGGGTGGCGGTCAGCTGGCCGTGGCTGGCGCTGGCACAGGTGGTCAGGGTAGGCCTCGTTGTCAATGGTGCAGAACACCAGACGGACCTGGTGACCTGCACAGGGGCCCAGCACAGCAGGCAGCCAGTCAATCAACAGACGTTTACTAACTGGTGTTCTGTGCCAGAAACTGTGCTGGACAGCCCATGTACGACCCTGACTAAGCCTCAACGACGCTCCGGGGTAAGCACCGTTACCATCCCCGATTCACAGATGAGGAAATAAAGCTTGGAAAGTCTCAGCTGTGTGGACGGAGCCCCACTCTGACACCTGGTCATTGGCTGTGGGCCTGGCCTCCTCTCCCATGAGTTCTGTCTCCAGCAAGCAGGTACCTCGCTGGGGGCCCTCCCTGGTTCTTAGCTTAGGTCAGGGGCCCTTCCTTGGTCCCCCAAGGTGACTCCATGGGGTGGAAATCCCTCATTGACTTGTTCATCTGCCCCCCTAGAACTGTGATTTGCCCTCTGTCCACAGTGCCCCGTACACAGTGGACACTCAGTAAGGTGGGGTAGGAGCCTACCCCAGCTGTCCGAGGTGCCCTCACCTCCTCCACACTCGACACTGCAGTCGCCCCAGGAGCCATGGCTCCAGTGAAAGCCGAGATCAGGAGCGCCCAGGGGCAGGTGGTACTCGTAGCGCACGCCAGGGTTGGGCTCCTGGCTGATGAGCTGTGCAGGGGGTCTTTAGTGAGGTCTGTAGCCAGCCAGGTGCCCTTCCCCCTCCCTCATCCCAGAGCCCCCTCTGCCAGACTCAGGCCCAGGGGAACCTCAAACCCTGTGACCAGAGCTCAATGACCTCTTGGGGCCACGTGCTCCCATCCCCACAGCCTGCTCACCTCAATGACCAGGGGCTCTGAGGTGGGACCTCGGGCATAGAGCCGCTCAGGGGCCAGGTCCCCCTCAGTGCCACGCTCGTATTGCAGGATGGTGTTGGCCACAGGCAGGGCCCTGGCTGCCTCGATGGTCCAGTGCCCGTTGAGGTAGTATTCACCACGAATGCTCTTTACCGCTGTGCAGGGGGTGAACCAGGACCCCGTGATCAGAGGGGGAAACAGGATCCACCACCCACTGCTGCAGCCCCAGACCGTGGCACTCACCCAGGAAGTTCCTGCTGGCAGCAGCCTCCTCGATGCGGATGCTAGTAGCCCCCATGGGAACGATGAGGATCTGGTTGTAGCCTGAGGGAGCCAGAGACGGAGGGTTGCTGAGCTCTGCTTCCCCTCTCAGACCACCCAAGCCAGGGGACAGGGCTCCCCCGAGTAGCCTAACTGCCATGGCAGCACCAACTGGGGTCAAAGTGAGGATACATAGGAGAGAGGAAGGGCTGGGCTTCTGGGGGAGAAACAGCAGGTACAAAAGCCAAAAGGGCAGGTGGGCTCAGGGGCCCCCAGAAGTGACTGGGGTATGAGGGAACCAGATGGGGACAATGACAGAAGGGATGCAGAGAGGCATCCAGGTGGTGGCAGTGAGAGGTTAGACTGGAGAAGTGAGCAGGGGTCCTTAGGAGAGAGTTTGGCCCCCACCCTGAGGCCACTGGGGCTTCAACGCATGACCTGGACACTAGCAGCAGACTCTCTGGGTGCTGTGGAGGGCACTCAGCCTTGAGTTTCAGCCAGAGGGAGGCATGAGCAAGGAAGGGAAGGGAACACTCATCTGAATTCCCAGAAGAACCTGGGAGGCCCCCAGCTGCTTCCCTCACTGTGACCCACCTCTGCTGAGGTCATTGGCATCGAAGGTGCCTATGACAGGATAGCAGGTTGTGTTATCACCCCCACAGCGCAGACACCTGTCTTCTTGCTTTGACGAGTCTAGCTTGTGGTCACAGCCGACAATCTGCCAGTCAAAGATGAGGACCAATGGACACACCAGGATTCAAGCCTGGCCTGGGCCAGCACCTGCACAATCCTGGCAGATCGGGAGGGGAGCTGTTCCTTAGCGAGCCACAGACAGCTGCCTAAACCATGGCCGTGGCCTGTGCTCAGCACCCACCGTGCCTTCTCTGGTTGTTAGTTGCGGTCAAGTTAATTTCAACTCGAGGTGACCCCACGTGTGTCAGAGCAGAACTCCACACCACAGGATTCTCACCAACTGATTTTACATAAGTAGATCAACCAGGCCTCATTTCCAAGATGCTGCTGGGTGAGATCAACCTCCAACCTTCTGGTTAGTGGCCATGATGGTAACCACCGGCCCCACCCAGGAACTCCCGTTTCTTTGGTAACAGTGCCTTATTTTCCTTTGGGAGCCATCTTGATCCCACAGAGTTTGGATGAAGCTCCCCAAGCAGTGGGTTTGGGCAAATCAGTAGGTTATGCCCCTTGCACAGAGAGACTGGCTCAGAGATGAGCCCCAAGCCAAGCCAACATGAGAGGCAACCCAGGTTGCTGGAACTCCTGGGAATGAGACTCTTTCCCTGGACTTGCCAGGCTGGTGTAGTAGAAGCCACCTTCACAGCTCACTGAAGAATTGACCAAGAATGATGCTGACCCAAAGAAGAACAAAGCCAAGGGGGCAAGGGGAGATTCTAGCAGCATCCTTCAAGGGTCTGGAGTCAGCCAGACCAAACCATGCTTTAGTTTAAGTCAGTTTTCACTGGGTTCCTTTAACACACTACCTAAAGGGTTTATCTTATTATGGGCCTAGAGTCCTCAAAGGGTAAAAGTAAGAGAGTCATAGGGCATCTGTGATGCAATGCGCCCTCGGAGTTAGGCTCAGTGTCCATGTAGTGTGAGAACACGTCAAGCACATGACAGCTACATGGCCCTGTTGGCATCAGGCCAAAGAGACACACTACACTGAGCCAAAGCCAGATCAGAGGTAGGTGTGGTATAAGGTCTAAATTTGAGGTGCAGCGCTGTATGCTGCTTTTGCATCTGGGAGAAAATGAAAGGGCTTCGAACAGCCTAAAGTTCTCCTGACTCTGCTCCCACAGCCAAACAACCCTCCTTCTCAAACAGGCCAGGTACAGCCCCTGCTCACCCCTGAGTGGTTTCGGTTCCAGAGGATTCGTCAAACAATCAAATCACGTCCTCTCAGGAGGCTCAGAGGGCACCCCACCCTCTTAACACTACAAACCTGCCTCCCACGGTCTCCGGTTGTTCACTCTGTGCCCCAGTGCAACTTCCACGTGGACCGTATAACATGCCGTATCCTCTGCTCCCGGGCTCTGAGCACACCTGGCTACTAAACCGCTGTGGGTCTTGTCTGTCTGGTGTTGGATATCTGTCTCCCAGGGCAGGACTCCTTCCCTCACAAATGGGGTGAAGAGAGGATAATTAAGACAGCTGGGGAGGAGCAAGGGCCACAACTCACCCGGCAACTGCCATCCACACAGACGTCCCGTTTGCCAGGTTCACAGGGGGTCCCATCTACCACAGCCTCCTTGTGCTTGTAGTAGAAGTTCTCTCCCTTGGGAATGCAGTTCAGCTCACACTTGTTTGGGGCTGGGGTAGCAAGAGGGAAAAGTGGACATCCCAAGGTTCAATGACAACCTTCCCTAGGGCCCAAGGCCTAGCCTACCAACAGCAAGATCTACTGCCGGGGCAGGGGCCAGGAGCCTACAAGTGGCAGGAAGAGAAAGCCCCGGCAACAGCCTCCCTGAGTGGCTCAGGCTCCCACCCTCATCCCAGGGAGAAGGGAGTAGCTTCAAACTATTTTCAGCATAAGCCATATTCAATGAATGCCAAAGGACAGTGCCACCTCCGCTAGCCAAGCCTCCAAATTCACAGATCTGGACTCCAGAGCGCCACAGTCCCCACAGGTCATTTGTAACAAGCAGTGGAAACCGACATTCAGAAAGACTATCCTATATCTCTGACCCTAACATGTTGTTGTTATGTGCCACGGAGTCCGACCCGACTCATAGCGACCCCTCCTTGGGTTTCCCAGGCTGTATCACTACAGAAGTAGATTGCCCAACCATCCTTCTGAGGAGTGGCTGGTGCGTTTGAACCGCCAGCCTTCTGGTTAGCAGTCAAGTGCCTCAGGCCCTATGCTACCAGAGCTCCCGACTCTAACATATAGATTAACATTTTCTCCTTGAACTCTGTTTTTCTAAACCACTCCAATTTAACTTCAAGGGACAGCTCCTTCGGCCCTTCTAGCACCTTCTTGCGGTTTGCTGCAACATGAGAAACGCTTCAGGTAACAGGCTCAACAAAAACAGAGCTCAATGAAAATGAATTTGTCAACTTTCACCCAAATCACAATTACAAAAATAAGTAAGTAATGGAGCTCAAGGTGGTATATACACGGACATAGTTTTGTTTGAAACACATACACAGAGAAAAACGGCCAGGAAAACCGCAGAACGGCCACCACGGTGTGCGACCATAGGCACTGCTGGGGTACTGGTGACTTTTCCAAAACTACTTTGACAAAGCTGCTGTAATATGGTCTCAGGGATTTTGAAATTAAAGTACAATGTGTAAATGAGATCCCCAAAAGGTGGGGACCGAGCTAGCAGAGTCGGGAGGCCGGGAGCAGGGGCCCACGCTCACCCCCGTAGTAGGGCAGCCACTTGTAGCGCCGGCCTTGGAACTCCACGCCGTCGAACTCCGAGCACTGCTCAGCCCGGAAGTCCCGGGCGCCCTCGGGGCAGCTCTGCAAGGCGGCGCAGGGAAGGGAGAGAAGTGAGGTCCACGTCCTCCCCGAAGGCCAGCCTGAGGGCCCCTGTGCGCCCCACTCAGCTCCGGGCTGCTCTAGGGGAGGCTTGTCACTGGGAGCGCTGCGTGGGGAAGGGGCTCCCCATGCTGCCCAGCTGTGGACAGGCCGGATGCGTCCCGGGCCTGGGCGCGGCTGGGGATGTGGGACCCCGGGGAGCGCTCTCCTGCCTGGTGGCAGCTGCGTGGGGCCTGGGGGACTGGGCCCCATGCATCAGTCACCTCAGTGTGGCAGGACCGGTGGTTCCGGGCGGGTCCCACGCAGCTGGAGCCTCCGTCTCTTCTGCAGGACGAGAGCAGGAAGACAGGGCCTCTAGCAGACTCTCCGTCCTTTACCCCTGCCACAAACCCGCCCTCCTTCCTCTCCCCCACCCTGACTTCATCTATGAGCCGCTGTGGCAAAACTGAGGAGGGCTGGACGGGGGCGGGGCAAGCTTACCGAGAAACTCCCTGGGTGGTTGTGGTTAGGTGCCATCCAGTGGGTTGTAACTCCTCGTGGCCCCACTACAGGACAGAGTAGAACTGCCCCGTAGGGTTCCTGGGCTGTAATTTTTATTGGAAGGAACCTTGGGAAGAAGCTCTGGTGGTGCAAGGGTTAAACCCTGGGCTGCTACTGAAAGGCCGGTGACTGGAACCTACCAAGCCACTCTGCTGCAGAGAGAGCCGAGAGCTGCTCCCAAAAGATCACAGCCTAGGAAACCCTACGGGGCAGGTCTACTCTGTGCCGTGGGGCTTCCATGAGTCTCAATCCACTGGATGGCACCCAGCAATGGTCTTCACAGAGGCAGACGGCCAGGTGTTTCCAGGGGGCTCTGGGTGGGTTCCAGCTCCAAGCTTTCTGTTAGCCACTCAGCACTTAACCAGCGTGACACAAGGCCTCCTTTAAATCCCCTTCCAAACTCAACAGCCACTGCTGTGGAGTCTCAATTCCAACTCATAGTGACCCTATAGGGCAGGGTAGAACTGCCCTATCGGGTTTCTAAGGCTATAAATCTTTAGGGAAGCAGACTGCCTCATCTTTCTCCCACAGAGCAGAACCGCTGACCTTTGGGATAGCAGCCCGATGCTTTAACCACAGCACCAGCACAGCTCCTTCTTAAATCCTCTCAAAAAAAAAAAAAAAAACCACTGCCATCAAGTTAATTCTGACTCATAGGAGCCCCTTTGGGTTTCCAAGGCTGTAAATCTTTAAGTAGATTGCCTTATCTTCCTCCTGTAGAGCAGCTGGTGGTGGGTTTGAACCACTGACCTTCTGGGTGGCAGCCAAATACCTTACCACTACACCACCAGGGATCCTTTTCAAATCCCCTAAGGTAGGTGTTTGTACCTGAGAGAAGTGGGACTCAGAAGTTTAACTGTCCAGGAGTTTGCCTAACTCCAAGCCACTCTGTGCCTTAAAACATATTTACAGAGAAGACTCAAATGCTGCCTGTCCTTTGAGATAAGATGTTATATACACACACACCGGGTAAGGTTATTCAGCAACTGAACAAACACATGTAATCTCATCTCTCCCTTCCTCCTCACACAGGCTTTCCTAAACAATGTGTTAACAAGTCCACCACCTACTAGGAAACTTTAACCTTTTGTATCCCACCCCTTCTATAGCACCTGTCAGAGGGCAGAGCACGTAAGTGCTTAATGAGCCAAAGTGGAGAACCTCTTACACCTGACAGGAGGCTGACAACAAAGAAACCACAGGAGTTAGGAAGTGTCAGCTGAAGATTATCCACTCATTCAGCAAGAATTCACTGCACCTGCCCATTTCTGTAGTAAAATGAATCTTTCAAATGTTTCCTAAACCTCTGTCCATGAACCAATGAATATATCCAAAACCCAAAAAAAAAAAAAACCTCACTGCCATCAAGTAGATTCCGACTCATAGCAACCCCCTTTGGGTTTCTGAGGTGGTAAATCTTTACAGAAGTAGATTGCCCAGTCTGCCTTCTGAGGAGTGGCTGGTGGGTTTGAACCGCCAGCCTTCTGGTAAGCAGTCAAATGCCTTAGGCACTGTGCCACCAGAGCTCCCTGAATATATTCAAAGGAGAGCTAAATCTGGAGCCTGTACAAAAAGTTTATCCCTACAACACATGTGCTGTACTGTAAAAATTTCTACTTTGGTCAGTCCTTAACACTGACCTCTCTTAATCTTCATGAATTTGTGTCTTCATAAGAGTAATTATTTTATATACGCTGGCAGCCACATTTAATACTTAGCATAAAATAAGATAATAAACTGCACCTGCCACATTCCAGGCACTGCATGAGGTACAGTGGATGCGGGGGCGGGGTGGGGTGGGGTGGATGAAACAGACCTGGCTCTAGCTCCTCTAGAACAAGGTGGATAGTTGGAATGTAAATATGCGGGAATTACTTGATTTCAAATAATCCATGGATGCTGCTTTTAGCACGAATATGTTGCCTTGATGGGTTCCATCCACGTGACCCTACACTTGCCCTTGACACCTTGCCCAGCCTGTTCTGGGGCCTTGCCCCCTTTCCACAAGCCAGCCCGTTTAACCTCCCCTACCTCTGGGGGTAGCAGAGGCGCTCCCGGAAGCTGATGCCCACTCCGCAGGTCCGGCTGCAGGGGCTCCACTCGCCCCAGGGGCCCCAGGTATCGCTCTGCCGCCTCACCTTAGGGGCCTGGAGAAAAAGAGAAGTTTGGAAACACAGGTCAGTGTCACACCTTCTGAAGCCTGGCCAGGCCGGGGACCACTGCTCACCTGGTATCTGAGCACACAGCTTCCACAAGGGCACTCAGAGGTTAATTGCCCCCCCACCCCCGCTTAAAACCACTCCCCCTGTCATTCAAGGAGCTTGGAATTCTCCCTTGCAGAACCAGCCCTTCAGAACTCAGCAGTCAGCAGGTACTCCAAAACTCACACTCACTTCCAAAACTAGCCAGCTGTTTACCACAAGGAGGTGAGAGCCTGGTGTATTCTGACAGGTGAGGCACCTGGGGTAAATCTGAAGTTCTAGAGGCCATGTAGGGGAGGTAACCCTGCGGGCAGGGGCAGTACGAGAGCCGGGCATTTGGGGGTCAACAACGATGTAGGAGAGGTGGTCCTAAAAGAAAAGGAAGGAAGATAACCTAGGAGCGGGCCACCTCCGAAGAGAAGAGGAGGGAGGCCCAGAGGAGAGCTCGGCTCTGCCCAGCCATGTACCCCATGTGACTCGCAAATCACTTAACCTTGCTCAGTGTCAGGGCAGCTCCCATCGGCACTACTGCCTGCATGTCTGCTATTTGCCACAATGGCGTAACAGCCAAGCG